TGATTTCTGGTCCTCTAGATGCGAGGAGAGACTCATGAAGGGACGAAAGAGAGGCGCCGAAGAGCTCATCAAGAGTGTCACCCAAGGCGGATTCTTCGGTGTAGTAGAAAAACTTGACTATTGTGAAGAGAGAAACATAGCACAGCAACGGGAACCAAAGAAGAAAATGCTTGGTTCAATAGTAGTGGAAAGAGAGGGACGCAAAAAGCATCGAGCTACTGCACATTACGAAGGGGCTAAGCAGGAAGGGATAAGATGCCGAAATAAAGGAAACGAGAATCAGATGCTCTGTGTACCAACTGCAGTGGCTACTTCGTCATCGAGGTGGATGCCTAAGAAGCCCAGATTACAAGGCACAGACACGCGGAAGTCGGCGCAATTCGTGTGTAACTCAGTCTCGAGACGTTTGTAGCTCTACATGCTAGGGAAGGAAAGTGCGCCATCTTGCATAATTAACAAAACAAAGGAAAGCTGAGGAAGGCGAGCGGGTTTTGCGTTTAGCGTACCGTCGGCGAAGATTGTGTAATCTCTTTGGTACCCCTCCATGTCTATGGGGCCCATGCCTACGCAAAAAGAGACAGATTAACACAGCACGCTAAAATAGATGAGCGACCTAAGAGGGCACACATCATCCACGAGCAAGCGCAAGTCTCGGCAGGTAAGAAGAAAAACATGATCCGCAGAGGAATGAAAGAGACACTGCACTGCACAGCTAAGCATGACGACACGGCAACAACCGATGAAATGACGAACGCTGCAGCGACATCCCCAAGAACCCATTCGATTTTTCTCATGAACAGCAAGCAGCCTTCTGCATCCGTGCCGCTTTCAATCATTCCTGTCGCTTCTCCATTCCATCTCCCACCAGCCCTAAAAGTTCGATTCGAAAGTTTATGATGGATGTGCCTTTCGTTTGCTGTGTTTGATGGTACCTGATTTACTTAGCTCAATGCGCTCCATTATGGAGGTCGCAAAAGACCTGGCAAAGAGCCTGAATAAAAACTGCTCTTCTTCAGACGAAAACGAAGAAAGAGAGACTGAAAGCAGTGATTCCACCATGTGCCGGCCAACACAGGGAATGCAATCTGCAGAAACAGACCACAACATCCAATACGCACGCATACAAAGCATAATAGAGGGAAAACAGGCCAGAGAAGAACCCTGCCAACAGTAATAACTTAGTCATAATCGCCATCCAATCAGTAAACCCTCAAAATAAAAGCTGCATCATTGCAGATTGTAGGCCCCGAAGATATGTGCAATCCCGCAGTGGGAGCGACTAAAGTATTCCACCCTCAGTATGCGTTATCCAAAGTGCCAAAATTTGTGATTCTTATTTCCATACAGGTTTGGGCCGCAGAGAATTCGAGGTACATCGCCCGAATCCAGGAGATCATTTTATTGAAGGAGAACAAGCCACCAAAGTGCCGTGTTATACAAGTGCTCACAAGAGAATGGAAGAATGCCTGTTTCTCTGAAAAGACAGGCAGCGTACGTCAGGGCAAATGAGAAAACTAATTAAAGAAGATAAAATGACAGCCCCTAAGAAGTGAAGGAGGGTACAGGTTCAACTGTCAAATACATTTCTCTATGCTTTCTACAATTCGACAATGATAAAGGAAGGGGCGAAAGACAGAATAACATAAGCAGGGAATTCCATAATGGACGCGTTGAGCATGGAACCGTTTCGCGGAGAGGAATCCAGCTGGCGCTGATACGTAAAAAACGCCGAACTCGAATCACCTCTTCCAGTAAAACGTTTTTCAGCGTAAAGCAAATGATACGAATGCTAGAATAACATGCATATACAGTGCAACTGATCTACTTTAAAAACGAAGCCCAAACGTTAAATGAAAGAGTAAAAACCAACCAGCAGGTGTGCGTCTTACCGATGGCCATGGCTCTAGACTGAAGAAGCCTCAGATATCTAACCGAAGTTATGTTGATTGGAGGTTTTGCTGTTGCGAATTCCCTAACGGCTTCAACATAGACGCTGTACCTGTCAGCTAATTCGTTCATAATACGACTCAAGGCCTCTGGAAGCAAGGATGAGGAAGACGGAAAAGAGGCCACACCGGAGAGAACCAGCTCCTCTATTGCAATATTCATTGCTGCATAGCCTACAAAACGCAGTGGCAAGAAAATGCAGAAACATGGATAAAAACAAGAGTATACGAAAGCAGATGGCACTATACTAGCTTTAAGATGCCACAAATGAAGCGAAAGGCAGAGAGAAATACAAGGAACAGAAAACCCCTAAAACGGAGTGCGAAACAAAAAGCAGCAATATAGCATGCACAGCTGCACCAGTTATCTCCATATAAAATATCGGGAGTTGAAGACAAACCACAGCACAGGTCGAGATTTAAAGTGGCTGCCATCACGAAGAACGTCGGAAAGATCCAACTCGAAGCACATTGGGAGCCAGTAGGCAAAAAAGACCGAGAAAAAAGAATGGCCCACAAACGAAGTGAACTGCCAAGCAAGAATTCAGACTACCTTCGGTGTTGAACGGCGCGCATTCACTGGGGTGGACTTCAAAAATTTTCTCTCGGGTGTGTTTTCTGAAAGCTGGGTCCAACCTAGACTTCAAAAAATTGGCTGCCGCCACCTTTCCGCACGGACTCTTTTCATATCGAATTATCCCTTTATCCTGTCCTGGAAAGAGCCCGATTGATGGTATCATATGAGGACAGTTCAATGTGTCCCCTAGCGCAATAGCGCCAAGTTGGGCTGTGGAGGCTACTTTTTTCAGTTCCGTTTGAGTTAATGCTAAAGTAAAATGCTTTTGCAAAGCCCCATACAGATGGTAAATACTGAGAGATTCACGGAAAGGAAGCATATTGATGTGAATTGCTGATGTATCCACCACGTTTTGTCCACTTGTTGGAACTTCAACTGAAAATACAATGCATAAGGATGCCATATAGAAACGAAGCTAGCAATGCAAGAAGCGAAGTATAGTGTAAATTCCAATCAAAGGATTATCGGCTATTCAGGTCACCATTTACTCAGAAAGATAAGCGAGGGAGGGAATAATGCATCACCTTGATTAGGCAGCACAGAATATGTAGAAGCTTTATGCAAGAGCAGACAGATGGATAGATTGGAATATATAAAAAGCGGAGAAAATTTGTTCTCGCATAGGCCTATGTTGCATTTTGTCGCCAGTACGGACAATAAACACCGCCAATTCAGGCGCGTACGTGGTAGATGTGCAGCAGTAGATAAGGTAAGCACGGCATCTTGCTCTGTGCAGATCCCTCTATATAAGTAGAGGCTTGAATTATTTTACAAAATATAGGGTGGCTTACGTGCAACCTCTCTGCTCATGAAATCGACTGTAACATTGTAAACAATCGCCTGCAGCTGCCTGACGTTTTCAATTGAAAACAGAGACAGGTGTTTTCCCACGAAGATTTGCCGCACTTCGAAGCGTAGAAGCTCCGGGTTTCTTATTAATTGCGCTGAATAGTATGCAGAAACAAGTGGAGAGTAGAGGCAATGACACACGCGCATGAGCTGACAAACACGGGGGAGACGGGACAAAAATCTGCGCGTTTTGCAGGAAAAACACGGCGAACATTAGCAGGTATCTTGGTCAAGAATAAAGCGGGAAAAAACCACGACCTAGAGAGGTTTAAGCTCGCACAGATAAAAAATACTCACTACATTGATTTACACGAAAAAGAGTTTAAAGGAAAGCAGTCATCAAGCCAATATCCACAGGATAATCTCAAAACTCGAGAGAATAAAAGAACTGAACAACACACTTATACCACGAAAGAGATGTTGGAAAATGTGAAAAGCACTAACGGTTGTAGGTGATCCGGTGTGTAATTTTTCTTGCAAAAGAATGGCTCAATGACTTCGCCTTCCTTAGCGGAGTACTCATGTTTATGTAGAAGTTGAAGACCTCCATACTTATTGCTTTCCTTAATTCTCGGTGGGACGCTGCAGAGAGCGATGTGAAAGCATGAGCAAAAGTACTTGTAGATCGATGGAGGGTGCTCACAACGTGCCTTCTGCGGCGTGTAAAACAAATTGTTATCACTGTGCTACGAGGAATGAAACCCTCTTCATTCCTATAAGTTCAAAACGCTGTGATCACAGTCGTACTATCCAGGCAGTACTCAGCTACGCAGCGTTCAAGGCAGAAAACGACCACAATGGCAAACGCAAGAACGACAGAAAAAAGAGAAAGATAGAGAAGACAAAACGCTCGTGTTCACTCCTGTCGCCTACCTAACAAGACACAGTGGTGAACGTGGTTCAGCAATGTCTCTCTAGCCATGGTAGAGGCGCCTTGAGCATCCCAAGTCTTCAGCGATGTAAAAACGCCCTCAAATTTAGCTCTCTCACTAGGCTTCATCTTATTAAGTAAGTAGTCTAGCCTCCCAATTCGTTCTTGAAGGGTGAAAGCCACTGTTGGGTGCAATCCCCGCAGCTGCTCTGCGTTTAAGTTGTGGGCTTGGTACTGCTCGAGGTAGCTCATGAGCTGCAGCAAACGCACAGCGTGCAAAAATATCACGGCAGTATTATACCCTTGTGAGCATTTCCTTATACCACACATCAGCGCCTACACAAAGTGCAACTGTGAGGGTATTGCCCTTTGCAAAGCGTCCCCTCTCATTCCTGGCTAGGACGTTGCTGTTGCTCGAGTGTATCCGTCAAGGTGAACCGCTACATAATGCATCTGGCTCGCATTTGTCTGTTCACTCATATCAATAGCCAGCGCCACAAGATAACACCTTCCTCTTACGAAAATGATTTCTTGCAGATCAGTCCCTGCTACATCGAATGCCCCTGCGTTCCTGCACAAAAAGGAAGCACACAATATAACGTTTCCTCGACTACCATGTCCTGAATCTGTATCTCCGTTTTGTCTGTCTCTGCTTCTGTGTCCAACCCTGCCTCTGCTACCCCGTGCACGACTAAACGGCAGGCAAGGAAATATTTTTAGGTCAATTTGCAGTGTACGCCCTTCTATTGGCGTTGCCTTACCCTATGTCGCCTTCCATGGCGGCACTTCCCAAAAGAAAGTTGACAAAGGCCTTTCGATTCCGTTTAAATTCCCTCATAGCTTCCCCTTTTGTCTTATCCTCCAGCATCCCTTGGTATGCGAAGTAGAGCCCATACACGGGCTTTGTTATGGCGCTCAGGAAAAGCGCGAGAAAAACTGTCGTGTCGACAGCGGATGCCGAGACTTGAATGGTACCCTTAACCAGGGCGCCTATTTTATCCTGATTCACCAGCAGAAAACTTGCAGTGCTCCGCATCACGTCGAATACCTTAACATAGAACCGTCCTTGCCCGGCAAACCACTTGACGAAAGCCGCAATCTTCTCGAACCACGCTGCTATGATTCCAAAGAGCTTAAGCATCCTAAAGTACCGAATAATCCGCTTTAGGCCAACTTCCTACGATCACGAAAACCAAAAAAAGGCATGAGAGCACCTACGAATTAGTTAACATGCAGCGCCGCTTGTCCATGCGAAGAGCCACTAGTGGGAAGCTAGGATACACGTTTAGCAACTCCCAAATGGTTGCAAAGGAAACAAAGAGAGAGGAAAGGAACAGAGGCAACGAGAAAAGGTGGAAGCGCCATGAGAAGGAGGCAACAGCTCCAGTTCTTACCACTGCCCATTGCCATGCTCTTCCAAACCGTGCGAATACTCGGTCCAGCCCGAAAAGAAGAGATTCTGCTACAAGGCGGACACTCGCCTTGGTGATATTCCATGCCTTTCTTAAAGCATTTGCCTTTTTTTTCTTGGCTTCCCTATATATAAGTTTCGCCTTTTGGAATGCTGCCTTAATTCTGTCGCTCGTTGCGCGTTCCAACATGATACGCCGTACCTTGGAAAGCTCCTCAGGGGCCAAAGTTTCAGAAGACTGGGCATCTGAAACGCCTGTATTCATTGAAGGTAGCGTGCCGGTTGCCTTCCCCGCTTTTTCAATAGCTGGGGCATTCCCTGTGCCTCCCTCTTCCACTTTGCCTGGAGAGTTAGGCCATTCGTCATTGACTACGTTGAGTCCTCCTGTTCCCCCCCCTTTATCTGCCTCTCTTGCATCTCCTTCAGAAACGTCAGGTGTACTCCGCTGGCGATTTACTCCTTCGGGCTGATGCTTTCTTCCTGGCTCTTGTTCCTGGCTCTCGTCCAGGCGGCCTAGATCCAAAGCTGTTTTGTGAGCCTCAAGAGATTGTTCTGCTCTGAGCTCTCCCCACTTTAGGCCAAACAGCTGCATATCATTAAACTCGGATTTTTCTGCGAGTGCCAGCCGAGTTGTTTTCCGCGTAAGCGTCTGTGAGGAGCTGCTGAAGATGAATGATAAAAGACTGCAGGTGGTCGATATCACCGCAATAACGCTAATCGGATTTACAGCTGCAACCAAAGAGACGATAGACATTCCCCAAAATACCAGGTTCATAATAAAGAGAATCAAGGGAAGAAATCGAATGATAATGCTAAGTATATTCTTGATAAAGGCCCGCATTTTTTCCCAAGCGACCGTCCCCATCTTCTTCACCCATTGAATCGCCTTTGACTCCGAGCCTTGGCCTGCTTTAGACCTCTCAAACAGCCTCTCCATTTTTGCCAGCATGATGCGTGCTCCAGCTTTCACCTTCCTAAAGGCAGTTCCCAAGCGTGCCATTACTCGCGAAAAGGCCTTATGCATACGCGTGGGCTTCTGCACGACGCGAATCAGAATTTTGCTGCACAAATCCCCACTGACGGAGTGTAGAGGCTCAAAAGAGCCAGTGGGACTCACAACTTTTGGCGCTACATGGAACCTTGACTTATGCAGATGCAACTTTTCTTCCAGATCTAGTTGGAAGGCACTCAGCATGGAATTCAACATGAGGGGAGAACCTGAGGAATCACTTGGACTCAGCCCTAAAGCCTTGTCGTCCGCCGCATCGGGCACATCCCATACTATTTCGCGCGCATATTCACCCGCAGAGGCAGGGTCTGAAGACGCCAAGCCCTCAATACTGGTGCCTGTCTCTCCACCTCGACTGAGGCTTTCATCAGTTCCTCCCGTGTCCCCCTTCCCTCCCAGTGGACTCTTCTTCTGGGAGTCGACATCCATTCGCCTGTCCACAAGCCTATTATCTGAGCTCTGTGCATCCTGCTTTATCTGGTCTTCGTTCCTTGTAAGCTCATTGAATGCTGGAGCCTCTTCTCCGTCCAGCCGGGCCAGGAGTCGGTAGTTGCTGCTCCCATTTTGCGGCCTCCCACCGTGGAGACTCTTGAGAAAACCTTCTCCTCTTGGCGAGCCGACGAATAAGTTGTCATCCAAGCCGCGCCCATACGGCCCCCAAGCCCTTTCTTGCAGCGAGGATTCCCCACCAGGTCCTTCAAGAGCATCCCCTGCATGGGAGAGCACGGCAACAAGGACTGTAGCCGCGGCAAAAATTGCATATACTAAAACGCCAGAGCACCCTATGCCGCTCTGGTCCGTCATTTGGGCTACACCCAGGCTTAGTCAGTTGTCTTTCATAGGATTAATCGGTCAGGCAGCTGAACTGCACAAGGTCAAGGGAACGACCGGTTGATCTCATTGGCCAGCTACAGGCGCACAAAAGGGAAATAAAACAGATTTAAATGGGTGGCCAAGGAATGAAAAGCAAGCGCTCCATATATTCAATGGATTCAATAAAACCAATAAGCCACAGGAGCAACAGCGGCAAAGGCACAGAGAACTTGTCGAATACAATACATTTTGCCAATCAGCAGACAAACAAGGAAATAAATTTGTATTTTACACGCAGGGGATACTGCCAAGATACCCAGACATGAAGTGAAGACTATGTTGATAGGCCTTGAAACAGACTCTCCCTGGTCAGCCATGCGATGTGTGTCCACTACACACATCAGTCTCCTCTGGGGGCCGCATTACTCCATTTACTTTACTTTTTTCTTATTTTAATTTTGTGGGCTCAAGGTCTAATTCAATCTAATTGCTTTATCGCTAGCTGAGGCCCCGCCTTTTAGAGTGGCGGCCCCCCATGTCGTCCGCCTTCCCCCCTGTAAGACACTGCTGATCATTCACCTCTTCTTACTAAGAGTCCAATAGTTTGATTCTGATTAATTAGCCAAAAAGGATTCTTTCTGAACTTGAGACTTACGAGTTCAGGTTCCCACGCCTTTTTGGAGGAGCAAAAATAGTGCTGCGCAACATGGCGAACACAGAACATCTGTTGCCCCTACACTACGATTGTGTCCAGCCAACTTATATATGTAAGTTGCGACTACACAATCTGCAGCTGGGTGCAATTTAGTCAGGAACGCTTATTATGCATGAATATTCGTGCATGCTGTTTTGCGTAGCCAAGCGCCCTCAGTCGGAGACGTTGTGTTGTGTGCGTTAAACGCCCCAACTTGCGTCTCCGAAGAGAAATACTCAACTTCAGACTCGGCACCAGCTTAATAGACAGTAACTGAGTACTTATCAATGGGATTCTGGCCTTAATCCTTCCCTGTCCCCTCAGAGTTCCCTATATCAAGGGGTACGCGCACCCTCTACTGGATCCAACCACTACAGCTAATTGTACACAGCATCTAGAGCACGCGTAGACAGCGATGTGTCTCCTTGTATTAGGCTTTAAAGCTTGCAATAAACGAGGTATACGTATAGACCACCAAAACCGTCTGTTCTTTACTAGTTCTAAGTGAAACATAGCTAGTGTAGTAGAGGTTGCGTAAGTGCAACTTAGCCCGCTACCTGTTCCCCCACATTTCGAAAATTTTCGCGTGTTCCTTAACTGTACATCGGGACCAGCTGCATGGAAGGCAGTGGAAGGGTTCCCGTCCTTTCTCCACTTCCAGGTTGGCAGGAACGCGAAACACAGTGCAAAGGAGAAAAGCATATTATACCAAGCACTTAAATGAAATAGGCGGGAAGAAAGGCACACCCACTAGTAAACAAAGAAGTTAGAACCAAACCAACACGAACTCGGCGGCGTGTGGGCTCGCCTTCTTAGGAGCGCTAAAATATGTCAGCCTTTTGCTGGGAGAAAACAGAGAATAAGTAAGATCTACATAGAAAATCAACATGTGACCTTGTTCATTTGTGCCTCCGCGTTTCATAAAGCAACAATTGGGTACAATCACACCGGTGTACGCAGGACAATCAGCTTTAGAGTCCACATCAGGCACCGAAAAGGGAGACAAAACATCTGACAGTACTTGGGCATAAATCTAATTAAATATAAAAGCAAAACAACAATAACCGGAAGCCCCTCGAGCGAAGCTCATAAAATGCAGCCCATTTTTGAATTAGAGCATCTGGTGGGAGAGTACACTAACCAGGGAACGCGTGAAGTACTGCCGATGAAGCCTAGCGCTGTGGACCCCTCAGAACCGTAAAGCCTCTCGGAGGCAATGACGCCCTCAACTGCTCGTCTGTCAAACACTGATGTTGACGTTAGCCAACTCATTCCAGTAGCTAATCCCGTCTAGTGCGTCCTCAGCGCTCAATAGTTCCTTAAAGTCAGCCCATTTATGGCTCCCTCTGTATCCTCGTTCTCCACAGGGATCACTGGCCTACATGGAAAAGTCCGCCACTAATTGAGGGAGTTCTGAAAGTTGTGTATGAAGCCAAGGTAGATAGCCCAATAGGACATTTAACTTTTATGAAAATTGACTGAGTCAGAAAGAGCGATGCTTATGAGAGGATGCCAGATGATCCTAGCCATCTGGCCACATACTTTTTTGTCTGAGTTCCTTCCGATGCACCTCGTAGAGGCTGGCAAATCATCAGGACCACATCTCCAGGCTCCAAATCTCCAGGCTCCAAACGCCCAGCCAAGCACCTCTTGTAATGATTTCTTAGCTTTATCTCTTGAGCTTTGCACATTTACTTACGTGTACTCGCCAAATGTTTTCTAAAGCCTTCCACTGCAAGGGGTGGCTGGCGACCCTGTACCACCAGGCCCCAGGCCCGGGTTGGATGAGGTAGACAAGGGACAAAGGGAAACAACGCGTAGACAAGTGCACTGATATATTATGTTTGCAATGGACATATTATAAGCAACCTGTATAGGGGTAACGAACGCAGGAAAGAAAACACTAACCCGCTGCGGCTTCGTATTTGTAATGATGCTCCTGGGGAGTTCGTGAAGCTTTCAGAGATGTGCTACAAACAGTTAAGGAACTACCTGAGCCTTGTCATGGATAAAGCTAGTGAGTGAATGACATTTTCTTCCAACTTTGTCGACAGCAACGCAATTGCTATTCTGACCTTTGACCTCCGGCCGTCCAACAACAAAGCCCGTCGTCAGATCGGTTCAAATCCTTTCAGGAATGGCAGATATTTGCAAAAGGTCGGGCTCAGGAGCAGTGTACAGCCTCAGCTGCTGAAAACGTGGGCATGAGCGTGCGTACTTATGTGCAGCGGGACGCATCCAGGCCACCAAAAAGACCGCGAGACCATTTTTTAGCTGTAATATGAATGATCACTGAGCGGAAGAACGTGCGTACATGCGTCACGCGAAAGCCACTGCTGAGCAAAGTTAAATTTTGGAAATCGGAGAGTCCTCGCTTTGTTTTAAGGCACAGCAAGCAGACCTGGAAGTGGAAATGCTTCGCCTTTCTACATGTCTAAAGCATAAAGCTCGTAAAATTTCAACAGGAGAGAAACACCAAAGACAAAGCAGTTGTGTTCCACACTACTAAATCGCTGACGCATCGCAAAAGCACTTCGGGAACCACGTTGGTGATGTCCTTATAATGCGCGATGTAAAGCGTACTGCAAAAGGCGCCCACACTAGCGAACAACTCTAAGCTCGAAGTCCGGAAAAAAAACTCACAAGGTACAAAAAAGATTGACTATTGGTCTGAACATTCAAAATACCCTCACCAAATCAGTCTCGGCATTTCTTTACGCCCCACCACACACCATGTAATTCATTCTATCACATAGAATGCAGCGCTCAGTTTTGGTGAGGCGATGAGTAAAAACCATGAGCAGATATTTAAGAAATTTGTTACCAGTTGGGAGAGCATACCAACAACCGCGAAACCACCGGCATCGGCGGTCATGAGGAAATGACTCTCACAATCGGGCAGATGATGTACCGGAGGAGTTGTGAGGAGGCCAATATGCGTCCTTGCTGCGGCATGAGCCTCCCCTGTCCAGATGTCAGACTGCGTTTACTTAACTAGACCACTCAAAGAATAATTGGTTCTAGGAAATCCAAGAAAACACTTTTGGTTACAAGGTGCACGTCCATGACTTTGCAATGCCTTTGCCGCTGCGCAAAGATAAAGGCCACCCCTTCCATGCCTCAAAAATTTGCCGAATCTGGCTCACCTTCTGCAGTCAAACCACGTAGTCGTTGACACACGACGGTCATGATGAAAATAGACACTTTTGTACCTCCACATACCACAAGTGGTTCCGCGGGAGCTGGAGTGACGCTGTGTCTGCTGAAGATGTTTTCGAGAGTTTCGTTTTAATACCAAATAGTAAAGAGCCACATACCCTTCCTTAATTGACTCACACGAATCCCAATCAGGCCGACGCCGCACTTTTAGCTGGTATAAAACATGTACAAACCATGAAAATGAGGCTGGCGGATGAGTGGGCATGGTCTAGTGGCTAGGACATTTGGCCAGCATGCAGAAGATCCCAGCTTGCAGGTGTAATGAAGTTTGTGAGCACAAAGGTCAAAGCCTATTCTATACTTATCTTTTGGGTGAGTCGGTATTTGTAAGAAACCATAGCTGCGAAGTCGAATGTTTGGCTGACTTTCGATCCAAGTGGTTTTCCAAGGAATTCGCCACGACGAGGCACCGACAAATTCTACTGCACATTGCTCTTTTCTGGCTGCTTGAACTTGACGTACACGAGCCCTCTTCGTCCATTTTTTGCACCATCTTCATTCATCGAAACAGGCCAATTGATTCCTGCTTTTGCCTTTTTCCAACAAATTATCCGGCTGTTCCTTAATTTCCCCTTCACATTCAAGGGGAATGCGAAACGCGAAACATAGCTTGGGGCTGACTCAGAGATTAGCCCGATACGGTGCACTGGTCGACCATCAGGTGGCAAGCTTGCCAGCAGCTGGTCACTATTTCGCACATACGCGAACTCCTGCTCGGCATTCATCCATTACTGCTGTTCATCGGTTGAAGGTTCAGTCGGAATCCCTAATGGATAGCCAGCTTCAGAGCCCGAAAGCGAGCATCCACACCTAAAATCCTCTTCCCCTGTTGCACTACTAAGCTGTCCGCATGAAAACTCTGCCCAAGACCCTTTGAGGTACTGATTGCTTTCCCTACCTACACAATAAATTAACGCTGTTGAGGAGTCCAGTAGCCTGCTTCCTACTAGCGCCTCCTGGAACACTAGCAGGAAGCACATGCAGCTGCGGTCACATGCTTTCCTACGACTGGGTTACGAGGTTAAAGCTTTTCAGGTAGTTCACCTGAATTGTAGTCATTAGTGCCCCTGTTTCTTTA